CAAGCTAGAGGAGTTTAACACCCTAAAGCAAGGAGCAGACTTAACTTGCGGATATATAGACCAAACCTTCTATAGACATATTTAGTTAGCTGAGAAGCAAGGAGATTAGATGGGGAGATGATTCAAGATCAATAATAAATTGGCAAGAGGCGTTGGCAGTAATTAAGGAAATGAATGGATGTGATTAGAAAATGTTCAAGAAGATGACTTCCCCTTCTCCCAGTGGTGAACCTAATCCTAGCTTCGCACATGCATGGAAAAGAAATTGTATAAAACATTTACTATTTAGGATTACTAACTACTCTGATCGACAGAAGGTTGTTCATACTTTATACCATAAAGAATAATGGAAGGAGGAGAAAACTCATGGGAGCTAAAGAATGTGCTTTGGGAAAGAATATTGAGGAAACTGACTTGCGAAGAATTTGAGAGAGCATCATAACTCATTCAGTTTGCTTAGGATTAAAGCGAAAGAGTTTTTACCATTAGTCTAGCAAAGTAAGAAAATGGCTCAGTGGCAAATTCTTCGCACGCCATATTATTGTCATTTGACTGTCAAAAAACTAAGAAATTTTTAAGGGCTTGAGCAAGAGATTCGGACCAGGGTGACTACCTTACTGAAGACCTCATGTGAAGTAGTGGAGAAAGCACTGATAAGTAATTATGGAGGAATTCAAGGTAAGCGGAACACGAAACCTAAAACCTGATAGTTTAATTAATGGTAGTTTTGCTGGTGGACCTCTAAAAGACGAGAATTTCGGAGATCAAAGTTCACATACCATGATTTCAGTGGTAAAAGGCTAAATGCAAATACCTGATATATGAGCAGCGGTGCATATACATGGTGTAAGCATTCATGGCATGATGTGCCACACCAGTAAATATTGCATTGACTGTAGTGTAGATCATCGTCTCAAACGAGTGTGAATCAAAGGAAGGCTTATACTTTAATTGAAGAAATTACAGAAACTCAGAAGAATCAGGCAAACCAGGCGGCGGTCGACCGGTCCGGTCGACCGCATTCGTGCACAAAGCTTACTGTGCGACAGAAAGGAGGTCGGTCGACCGGGCCAGTCGACCGCAGGTGTTTCGGTCGACCGGTGCGGTCGACCGAGGAGCTCTCTGGAGTTTGGGTTTTCTACTGGGAGCTGGTCGGTCGACCGGGCCGGTCGACCGGAATTGATCGCGGTCGATCGGAATTGATTGCGGTCGACCGACGCTGTTTTGGGCTGGGCTTTCAGGTTTTCGACCCGATTCGTTTTGTAAGTTCTATATATACCTAAACCTGTTTGTTTAGGGTAGAGGTTGGACGAATTTGAGCAGCCAAAGAGAGAGAATCATTGCATCCAATTGTGAGAGAGCTTTGAGAGATCTAGAGCTTTGTTTTAGGGTTTGGTCTGAGAGATTTGTAACCCTATTTGTATTCTCTTGATTTCTAGTAGAAAGAACTCCCCCCTCCTTGCCCCGTGGACGTAGGCAACTTGCCGAACCACGTAAATTCTTGTTCTTGCTGTGATTGTGGTTTGCATATTATTTGTGGTTTAGTTCAAGTTATTGTTCGTGTTGCCCTAGAAAGCTTCCGCCGCACAACAATTGGTATCAGAGCTAGATCGACAACATGGGAGATGCAAGCACGTCAGGTTCGTCTCTAACAAAGGCAATACAGAGTCTGAGCACCAATAACACGAAGATTGATGTTCCGAAGTTCGATGGCAAGATCAATTTTGGATTGTGGAGGTGTCAGGTGATGGATGCTTTGGATGCACAGAATTTGGAGGAGACTCTTGAGTTAAAAGAGAAACCCGCTGAGTTGGAGGATAAGGTTTGGAGAAAGATGAACAGTAGAGCTTGTGGTGTTATTAGGTCATGCTTGACGCCGGATCTTATTTATGATGTTATGAACGAGACGTCGGCGAAGAAGATGTGGGAAACACTCAATGAGAAATATCTTACGAAGAGCATTGAGAATCGGCTTCACTTGAAGAAGAGATTTTACCAGTTCAAGATGAAGAGAGGGGTTTCCATCAGGGAGCATGTCAACAATTTCACTAAGCTACTTTCAGATATGGCCAATGTTGATATTATAGTTGAGGATGAAGACAAGGCGATGCTACTTCTGTGTTCGTTGCCCGAAGATGATTATGGTACGTTCGTTCTCACTATGATCAATGGAAGAACTACAGTTAGCTACAAGGAGGTGATCTCAGCTTTGGTGAGCTATGAGTTGAGGAAGAGTGATGGTGAATCCTCCGAGCAGGCATCGGGAGATGCGTTAGCAGTTCGAGGCCGAGATCCAAACCGTCGTCAGTTCAACCGCTCAAAGTCAAAGAATAGGAGTGCCTATAAGAGTGTTGGTAGAAATCAATGTCGGTATTGTAAAGAAGAAGGACATTGGAAGATTGACTGCCCAAAGTGGAAAGAAAAAGCCGGAAAGAATAAGGGGAAAGCTGCACAAGCTTCAGAAGTGAATGTTGCAAAAGCTATTGGTGAGCATTCAGATTCAGATTCTTCAGGCTATTCATGCACTGCTTTACCGTCGGTTTGCTATGCGGATTCCACGGAGTGGATGATGGATTCGGGAGCTACATATCACATCTGCCCTAAGAGGGAGTGGTTTTCTAGCTTTGAGGATCGACTGAGTCCACCCCTCGAGTTATCCTTAAGGAATGATGCCGACCCGACTGGGGGAGTGACGGCTCGTGGGATTGCAAATTTGCAGGGAGTAGGTTATACCCTATAACAGTGAGAAATCACGTATTTCTCAAAAGGATTAAGAATTCCTCAAAATTAAATTACTCAACAAATAAATGGAAAAGATTATATCTCTCAAATCGATCAAGAATTTGCCATAATACACGGAAAATGTGTTCTCGTCAATTTGTTAAATTAGACTTCATATCCCACTAAAAAAATTCCTCAATGACCCAAAATATGGGACCAATAGAGGGGACAAGTGAGATGTCCAATGATGGCCAACTCATTATCCAATAGGAGGGGGGACACCTCACTTGTCCCCCCTCCCCTATTGGTCTCATATTTTGGGTCCCTGTAGCAAAACGCATCCCACTATTGTAGAGACTCTTGAGATTCTTTGGAGAGAGAAGGGGAGTCAAGGTGAGGATGTGGAAAAGTGGATTACTCATTAATTACATGGATGTAAATAAGCTACAAAATTACGTAATAATTGCATGCTAAGTTCAAAAGGTTGTATTTGTATATATCAGAATATAGGAAGTTATTTTTATTGATAATGATATTATTATTGTCAATTGATATACACGTTGAAAGCATTTTTTACCCTTGATATTCCCGAGTGGTATGGGGAAGTTAATGGGAGATTGTGGAAAAGTGGATTACTTGTTAGATAAGTTAGAAAAGCTTCTATTTATATGCATCAGAACTTTAAAAACTTCAGTTTCATATTTATTGATATCATTACTTTCAATTTTATTGTTGAGGGCGAACTTACCTACTAATTGCATGTCAAAATCTGCAAACTACCTGCTTTGGTTGCCTTATGCTTTATAAAACTCCAAAACCTCCTCTCTAAGATCAAGTACAGACCATCACCTAGCTATCTAAAAAAAAGACATCCTATTAAATCTTACCATAAATTTTTTTTTTTTCTCTACTCACAAGTTAATATCTACCACACAAAGAAGGTCTGAGCGTTGAACTGACATTTTATAAATTGAGCTATCTGCATAATAGCATAAAGTTTTGGGCGAAGTGGTTAACGAAAGTGAACAAGTTAAACATATCATCTTGAATTTAGCCAAATGGTGATAACTCCACAAGTATCAATACCAAAGTAGTTCAAGAATTGATGATTGAGTACATCAAAAGCACGATAGAGTAAAAGCTGATATTTTTGTGTGCTGGTTCTTCAATATATATAGTCTTCATGCAGAAGGACTGGTTGCTTGCTGCAATAAGATTGTTGGTAATGAAGGAATTTCAGCATCAGCAGCAGAATCAGGAAAAACAGGCGGCGGTCGACCGGTCCGGTCGACCGGATTCGTGCACAAGGGTTCCTGTGCGTCTGGAAGGAGGTCGGTCGACCGGCCCGGTCGACCGCAGATGTTTCGGTCGACCGGTGCGGACGACCGACGGCTCTCTGGATTTTTGGGGCTTCTGCTGGATGGTGATCGGTCGACCGGGCCGGTCGACCGGAATTGATCGCGGTCGACCGGTCCGGTCGACCGACGCTGTTTTGGGCTGGGCTTTCAGGTTTTCGACCCGATTCGTTTTGTAAGTTCTATATATACCTAAACCTGTTTGTTTAGGGTAGAGGTTGGACGAATTTGAGCAGCCAAAGAGAGAGAATCATTGCATCCAATTGTGAGAGAGCTTTGAGAGATCTAGAGCTTTGTTTTAGGGTTTGGTCTGAGAGATTTGTAACCCTATTTGTATTCTCTTGATTTCTAGTAGAAAGAACTCCCCCCTCCTTGCCCCGTGGACGTAGGCAACTTGCCGAACCACGTAAATTCTTGTTCTTGCTGTGATTGTGGTTTGCATATTATTTGTGGTTTAGTTCAAGTTATTGTTCGTGTTGCCCTAGAAAGCTTCCGCCGCGCACAACATTAATTAGAAGGTTGCTCAATTGCCAATGCAGTGATGAGAGGTGCAATGTTCATATCTTTTTATTATGCTAGATAATGTTTGATTCAGGATGTAAACATTCCTTATACATACAATGAGTAAAAATACCTGAGTTATTTGATATCAAATTATCTGTGGTATCACTAACTAATGTTTTTTTAAGAATTATAAGATGCTTAAAAAACAAGAGAGCCAACAGTCCTTGAGCAGATTTGTTCCTTCTAGAGATGCATGACATTAACATGATTCTCGGAAAGCACTGGTTAAAAGACATCATGTACCAATCTTCTGTTTCGGATCTAGTCATATTTCATATCCTGAGGCAGCACAAGTTTAGCTCGAAGCATGATAGTACATCTTTTGCTCCGAGTCCTATCAGCAATATAAGCTTAGATTCCTTAGGAAATGGATGTCCATGATATCCAGCTTATGTGTTTTACACCAAAAAAAGAGTGAGACTTGAAGACATAAACAGATTTAGATAATTTACAATTCATCACATAGGCCTTGTACATACCCTTGAGGCAAGTATCAAGACAATCCGAACCAAGTCGAACACACAAGTCCCTTAGGAATAGGAATGACACAATTGGGAGTGCACCTCTTCCAGTGCCCCATGAGTGGAGTGCTACCTGAAATATTATGCTTGGATTTAACATTAACCAAAAAATCATTTAATCTTTGAAACACAAATTTATCCCACATGTATAAACAATGTAGATTAGAGGTCACACTTATAAGCCACCATGTTATATAAAGTGTATGATGCAAAAATAATCATATACATTGATGTATTTCCTCAAGAGAGTAGGAAAGGCAGCTAAAAATACACCTGATGCCTTCACGCGTTTCAATGTGAACGAGATCATCTGCTCATCGGTCATTTCTGTCAATATGTGAAGTGTGTTGCTAAGATATATCCTCATTAAAGTGCCATGTTTCGTCCAGGTTTTTGTGGTTGTTAGATCCATAATTGTTTCCTTTCTCCCTCCAGTGTTTGGAGCACCAAGCAAACCACGGAGAATGCCATCCATTTCATTCAGAACAAACAACATTATTTTATTGAAAACATTGCTCGAGACGATACTAAATTTTGGTAATGTGACATCACTGTCATCACCGCAGTGGCATGCAAAACGAAAGGCCCGCAACATAGATCTAATTGCACCAAGCCTTCTTTCTTCTTTAATTGCTTTGCACCAGGAATCAACCATTGCAGTTGTAACTGCTTTTTCTGGCTTCTTTTGTGACTCCACAGCGGGTTGAGTTTCCTCATCAGCCTCGAAAATCGTTTCTTCATCCTCCTAACCAATACAAGAAACACACAAGTTAATTCACCAGTTTTAAAAATTAAGAACTAGTCGTCATAAATTAATGGGAAAATTGCTTGGGGGAACCAAATTAATTTGGGTCATTCATCCCCACCCTCCAACTAGAGTCAACCACTTGGGGGCACATTGACCCAAGTTTTAATGCTTTTACACCCCAAACCCAAGATTGTATATGTACTTTATAGTGTATTTTTGCCAATTGCCCTTTTTACCCTTTGTACTCCTCCGATTTTGGTGTAGGCTGAGTTTTTTTTATCTTGTTGGCCAGCAAAGCAACCCCAACCCATCAAATCGGAAGTCACTTCCGTTTATACCTGTACACTAGAGAGGTTTTATGGAGGGAAAAGGGAAAATTGGAGGGAAAAAGATACTAAGTTCCCTCCAAAATTGTTGCATGCCTCATTTCAATGTAATATATACTCTTCCCTCTTTAGATCTACTACTAAGACCTTCAACAACCATTTATATTCTTAACTTTTTCCTCTTAACTTCTTCAACAACCACAATGGAAGATTCCTTAATGTGTGTGATTTCATTTAACAGTAATGCAACCCTCATTAAAGTCAATTCGACAACAATATTTGCTGAATTGAAGATGATCGTTGCAGAGAATTTTAGAGAATCGTACGAAAGTTTGTTGATAAGTTACTCTATCGAGAAGTTTCCCAATGTCTCATTTGAGCTTTCAAAAGATGAAGATATTCTCAACATGATAGATTATCATCGTTCAATGGGGTTAAATACAGTAACTATGACTGTTACTAAAAGAGATGAAGGACCCACTCATGCCATAGGGACAGAAACGGAGCTTAGGTAAGTATTCAAAAATATATTTTCAGGTTCTGGATACACGTGACATATTACGTTATATATGTGACCTGAATACATCCAACGTGACAAATTGACTTTATTTGTGACTGTAGGTGTAAATTTTGATCTCCCGAAAATAGGAAACTTCATTTGTATTGATAAGAACAGCTTATTACAAACTAATAATCAAATGTTTACAACAGAAGCGGAGGGAAAGCCCTCCTTGTTTAACGTGGGTTCATCGGTGGCGATAGGACGCCTCGCTCGGTGCTCGTGCCGAGTCTGCTTCCCTTGGACGATCAGGGAGCCTTTGGCAAAAGTCCAGGTTCAACCTTTGGGAGATTAGCCAGCAGAATATGCAACAGCCAATCCCCTTTTCATGCTGGCTGAAGATGGGTTTTAATAGGCAAGGGATGGCATGGGCCATCCCTTGATTCGTGGGATTTGATCACTAATAGAGGTGAGGGAGCCAGCCGCCCAAGCTGTGGGATGTGACCACTTAGGGGGTCCTGTCAGCCACCCTAGCTGTGGGATGTGACCACTTAGGGGGTCCTGTCAGCCGCCCTATTCTTGCTAGGTGAGGAGCGCCATGCTTTCTCTCTTGATTTGTGTGATTTGACTATTGATGTAACTGTTCCCATACTCCAAGCGGGCAATTGACAGTGAGCTGGCGACTTAGGGGGTCCTGTCAGCCACCCTAGCTGTGGGATGTGACCACTTAGGGGGTCCTGTCAGCCGCCCTATTCTTGCTAGGTGAGGAGCGCCATGCTTTCTCTCTTGATTTGTGTGATTTGACCACTGATATAACTGTTCCCATACTCCAAGTGGGCAGTTGACAGTGAGCTGGCGAGTCTGCAACTTGGGTCTGCAGGTGAGCTTGGGACTACAGGCAGACTTGGGTCTGTAGGTCTACAGGCGAGCTTGCAGGCGAGCTGAGTCTGCAGGCGAGCTTAGGACTGCAGGCAGACTTGGGTCTGCAGGTCTGCAGGCGAGCTTGCAGGCGAGCTGAGTCTGCAGGCGAGCTTGGGACTGCAGGCAGACTTGGGTCTTCAGGCGAGCTGGGTCTGCAGGCGAGCTCAGGTGTGCAGGTAGACTTGGGTCTTGGTCGTGCAGGCGAAATTCGAGTTGCAGGCGAGCTCCTGAGCATGGATCGAAGAATAGGCCGTAACTTTCAAACCGTAAGTCGGAATTGGACGAATTATATATGAAAATCGCCTATCTCAACGAGATGGAGCCATCCGAACCAAGCCAAAGGCTTTGGTTCGCTTCCTCCATTTCGTCAAATTCCTTACAGTTTGGGAGATATCTGCGTTTTCCCCTTTTTGCTATTTCGGACGAGGTTTTAGCAGTTTTGTTCTGAACTTCTCTCATAAGGATTTAAAGGTAATTTTTATTACCTACAAAACCCCCTCCAAAGTTTTCAGACCTGAATTAGGCCGCATGGGGTCTGGAACACTTTGGATATGAAGTCCCGTAAAGTGATCCCTGCTCTTCACTCGCAGCTGATGATCGCCTTCTAGGATTTTGAGCAAACCCTCAGCTATCAACGGACTTGATTTGTCTTTACCAACTGCCGTTTGAGTTGGACTAGCCATGCTCTTGCCCTTAGCATGGTAAGTTATCGAGGAGTTTCTCTTAGGCTCAATGCTAAAATTTTTCCTCTATCCTTAGCCTTTCGAGGCGTTTAGATTAAGAGAGTAGGGAGCAGTTTAACCTCGTATACTAGTCGGAGGGTAGGACCAGTTTAGACTCATGCACCAGTTAGAGTGAAGGAGCAGTTTAGCCTCGTGCACCGGTTGGAGGAAAGGAACAGTTTATACTCTTGCACCAGTAGGAGTATAAGGGGGCAGTTTAGAGTCATACACCAGTTGGAGTCTAGGGGGGAAGCTTATCTTCTCTTAGGGAAAAGATGAAGACGAACCTTGATTTGTCTTCTCTTGGGACAAAGACGAACCCTGAAATAGAAGCACATCGCATAGTAGACCACTATCAAACAACAACGCCTTTTATGGGAAAGACGGTGCTGGGAGAATCAAATCGTTCAGGGACGTATGAGTATGATGACTGATCGGACAACGTCATTTGCGGGAATGACGATGTCGGCTATCAGAGGTAATCGTTAACATGATAGGAATTGCCACGATCGAAGCGACTTTGAGGACCTACCATCCTTTTGAAGAGGATTGGTAAGTTGATTTTGTTAGAGGTGTAGTGTTAACATGACAGTGGGAGTTTATTGTGATTTGAGCAACTCTATGGACCTACCATCCTATTGAAGAGGACTGGTAAGTTGATTTGTCAGAGGTGACTGTTAACATGACAGTGGGGGTCCTACCATCCTATTGAAGAGGATTGGCGGGAGATTGTGGCTTTGGTCCTAACTATCTGAAGGTTTGACCAAGTGGGAGTTTGATGCAGCCCACCTGAACTGCTAGTCTCACCTGTTTTGAGCGGTTCGCCATAACCAGGAACCTGACTCAAGAAGTGAAGCTCGCCTAAACTGTTAGGCTCGCCTGATTTGAGTGGTTCGTCCGTACTGGGAACCTGGCTCAAGAAGTGGAGCTCGCCTAAACTGTTAGGCTCGTCTGATTTGAGTGGTTCGTCCGTACTGGGAACCTGGCTCAAGAAGTGGAGCTCGCCTAAACTGTTAGGCTCGCCTGATTTGAGCGGTTCGTCCGTACTAGGAACCTGGCTCAAGAAGTGGAGCTCGCCTAAACTGTTAGGCGCGCCTGATTTGAGCGGTTCGTCCGTACTGGGAACCTGGCTCAAGATGTGGAGCTCGCCTAAACTGTTAGGCTCGCCTGATTTGAGCGGTTCGTCCGTACTAGGAACCTGGCTCAAGAGCTCGCCTAAACTGTTAGGCTCGCCTGATTTGAGCGGTTCGTCCGTACTAGGAACCTGGCTCAAGAAATGGAGCTCGCCTAAACTGTTAGGCTCGCCCGATTTGAACAGTTCGTCCGTACTAGGAACCTGGCTCAAGAAGCGGAGCTCGCCTATACTGTTAGGCTTGCTTGTTTTGAGCGGTTCGCCGTAACCGGGAACCTGGCTCAAGAAGCGGAGCTCGCCTAAACTGTTAGGCTCGCCTGTTTTGAGCGGTTCGCCATAACCGGGAACCTGGCTCAATAGCTTTGTAGGCCCGTCGTCCTATTGAAGAGGATCGACGGGAGATTGTCAGAGGTGTAGTGTTAACTTGACAAGATTGTCGCGATTAGAGCGACTATGTGGGCCCGCCGTCCTGTTGAAGAGGATCAACGGGGGAAATTTGGAGGATATGAGGGATCGGTCTCCACTACCAAGGCATCTTGGTCATCATCCCCTCGAAATTCATGCGGGTCTTCGTCACCCATATGCTTGAGCATGCTCTCGACTTGTTCTCCTTGGCGGAGTAAGTCTTTCCATGAGCGAGCTTCAACAGCGCCCATATTGGACAGAACGCTGATGGAGAGATTGTTCCGGCACATCTCGATGAGCGTGGCCTCGGAAACTCGATCGCGGGAATGCAGCGATCGGTTTCTGAATCTCTTGACAAAGTTGCTTACAGACTCTGTCTTCCTCTGCTTCACAGTTAGCAGGGTGGCCATAGATACTTCTGTGTCATCGTCGAAGAATCTGATCACGAAGAGCCTTTCCATGTCCTTCCAGCAGGTGATGGACCCAGGCTCCAATCTGCGAAACCATTCAAAAGCGACCCCCTTGAGGGTACCAATGAACATCCGAGTCATAATGGGATCGTTTCCCACTATGTGTCCAGTTTGCGTCTGGAAGTAGTAGATGTGCTGGGTAGGAGAACCCTTGCCATTGAATAGCAGGAGGTCCAGCGGCTCGAACTTTTCCAGGTAGGAGACCGCATCCCATTCAATTGGATACGGTATGACAACCCCCAGCTTGCTCACATGCTTCTGGAGCTTCAAGGCGTCGAGTTGACTTTGGAGATCGTCAAACCTCTTGTCTCTTGGGTTATGGCCCGAAGATGACGCTCCTCTAGATGACTCGGATGAGGAGTGAGAAGGAGTAGGCACCCGCTCTTTGTGCTTCAAGGATTTATGTGAAGCCCGCGAAGTCCTCTCTCTCTTCCTCTTCTTCTCGCTCAAGAGCTGCTCCAACATCTCCTTTAGGGAGTCAATGGTTGCTTGTTGCTCGTCGAGTCTCCTGGATATCTCATCAGGGATATCGATCATGTGCATATTTGCGTGCTCGCCCTGAACTGAGCTTGAAGTCTGCGACATTGCCACTGCTGAGCAATCGTCGTCGTCGTTGTCAGAGACGGACGTCAGATCCGTGCAGGCAAACGGGGTGGCCACCCCCATTTGGGCGTGAGCGTGTTGGCGAGGTTCAGGCTGGCGAGGTTCGCCCGTCAGGCAAGATTGGTACAGTGTGCCTGCGCCTGCCTGGCGAGCTGTTGCTTTGCCTTTCTGTCAAACTTGGTCCGTCAGGCGAGCTTGGCGAAGTCCGCTTGTTTGACGAAGCCCTCTTGAACTGTAGAGTTTTCCAGGTTCCATTGGTTCGCCAAAATTGAGCACCTTGCTCATAGAGTGAGGCTCGCCTAAACTGCTGGGCTCGCCCGATTTGAGCGGTTCGCCAAAACTAGGAACCTGGCTCAAGAGGTTGGGCTTGCCCAAGCCATTAGGCTCGTCCGATTTGAGCGGTTCGCC